GCCCTTTAGTGGGGCTTCCCCCCCCCCCCCCCCCCCCTGCAAGGACTAAGTGCTTGTTTTGTCTAGGGGAGTCAAGTAAAGCTGTTTTACTCACCTGATCCTCCGTCCCATAGTGGTCAGCACTCACCTCTCTCCCTCTTTGCTTCGACTATAGAATGCCCTTCAGCTTCATCACGTTACATGCAGGTCAATGGACCTGCATAAGACGTGAGGACTTCAGCGGTTCTTAGATTGCTGGAGTCCAGGAAGAAAAGGCTGTGGGGACCGGTCTAGCAGAGCGAGCTGATGGGACCAAGGATCAGATGAGTAATACAGATTTATTTGAGTCCCAGTGCAAGGGTAAGTTTTTGATTTTCCCAGACTTCTTCTTTAAAAAGTGTTAACTGGAGTTGAGCTTAATGCTTATTTACAACCACGTGCCTTTCTAAAACTACCCTGTCCACAAAGTGATAATGCTATAGGGATTTCAGTGTAATGTAATGCAATGTACAGTAACGCTGTTACAGGATGTGGAAAATACAGGAAATGGAAAATAAATGGATCCACTAGCATGATCAACACATAATCTAATTGATTTTGTATTAATGTATGTTTGAAAGTCAGTTCATAGACATTATTGCTTGTTGTTCTTTAAATTACCATTCACTTGCTCACTGCTGTTAGCGGTGAGGTTCTACGTGGTACCTATGGAGAATAATCACTAAAAATGACAAAGGAGAGATAAAAGTAAAGGGGAAAGTTAAGATCAAACTTGAAAAGCTTTTCTTTATGTCAGGAAGTTTTAAAGGTGATAAAAATAGGAATAACATTTTACAAGTTTACACATTTCTAAATAGGCCACAAAATCTATGTAGTTAAAAAAAAAACAAAACTATTTCATAGAGAAATTCAGAATTTCAGATGTATGCAATAGTTATATTTTTGAATTTAAAGTAGATGTAAAATCAATGACTAAAATCTCTTATAATCTTCATGAAAAAATCTAGTTAACCTGTGATAAAGGTTCTTGCCCCAGCAATTCATGTTATAGAATGACAACTCTCTGTCCCTATCTACCAATTGCTTTCCTGTGTGTGGGCCTGACACAGTTGCTTTTGATTGGGACTGTAAGATCAGCATCCCTGAGAAGCAACAAAGAATGAAAAAAGGCAATAACTATTTTATAAAAGAAAAAACATGGCAATTGTTTATGAGAGCATACAGGTTAGTAAATGTACCTTTTAAATGAGTAACAATTTCACTGGCCTAGTGTACATAGGTTTCCAGCAAACATCCTCTCAGGATCACAAAATGTACAAATGTAGTTCTTTTAAAGGTTTAGCCCACCCAGTAATTATTTATTATAATAGGTGGAGTCTGGTAGGCTATGTCTTCTGCTGGCTTCCTAAATAATAATAATGTTCCAATACCTTTTTATTGGTGTGAGACAAACATTGACTTAACTGACTTTAAAAGACTCCTAATAAATCGTATTCGTATGACTGCATTCCATGATTACAGAAGAGCCCTGGGGCCATGCTACAAAAAACTTGAAACATGATTCTGACTTTTAAAGTCCGAACTCTGTGTTTGCAAGTCAGAATAATGTTTGCAAGTCAGAATTCTGTATTTAAAAGTCAGAATTTTGTTTCTTTTTTCTTTTAGTATGGCTCAGGGCTCTTGCATACAGGCTATCTCCTTTTACTTAATGTAGTACATTTTTTGCATATAGATGATTAATAATATAGGAAAGAGGTAAATATTAGAGACCTGTTTGTTTTTCAGCTTGACCATGCAGAAGGTTCACAGTACATTGGTGATCTGTTGAGTCATTTAATAGCAGCACACAATACCCAGTAGGGTATTGATGATAATTATTTAACTAAAGGAAAGAAGTGTTTTAGACAAGGGACATGAAGCTAAATTGGCAATAGATGATTTTAGAATGTAAAACAGCCTTGTACAGTGTGTAATTGTTGTACTTTGTATCAGGAAGATATTAGAACAATTTCTTATGATCGCTTACAGCAAAGTACAGTACTGCTATTTTATAAATCTGGGAACAAATCCACTTTTCCTGCTGGTCTGCCAGTGAGTAAATTTCAGTTGTTATATTCTTGCAATTTAGGGATATTGGACTATACATTTTCTCATATTTGTAAGATACAATGTAACTAGTTACTTGTTATTGAAGTAGTGACATTTTAAGAATGTCAGGTGTTACATAGGCTTTTCTTCCCCTCTTTTATGTAGGCCACTCGAAACTCAAAGCCTGTCTTCTCAGGAATTCAAAACGTTCTCACCATTATTACAAATAACAAGAAGTTTAAATCAACCTAGACTAATCCGAAGGAAGAAAATCCGGCATGCAGGTAACGCTACTGTATTGCTAAATTAACTGGATGATGTAATGACTTCTGAAATATTAATTAAAATACACTATGGGCTAAACTTCTAGTCTTGTCTACAATCTTTTACTTGGTGTAAATCCTCAGTGTGAAGCCCCCATTTGGGGTCAAAATCAACTTTTTGGAGGGTTCTCAGATAAAAGCAAACTATTTTCAAGTAGGAGTCTACTGAGAAATGCATATTTGGGGTTTAAAACAACTGAGAATCGGTGTTGACACAAAATGTTGCACTCATTCAACTACAACATGAAAACTTTGTGCATCCCTGGGCCAGGTGGTGGTGAAAAAAGGAACCTTGAAGTAGTATTAAAGCAGAACTATGGGGTTAAGGCTTTTCCCCATAGTTCTCCTTAGGGTAACGGGAGGACACAAACTAGCGTTCTCCCGTCACCCTAAGCTCAGTATACCACGAGCTACAGCGAGCCAGCTGTTCCCGCACCCTCCCCCATCCGTTCCGCAGTCAGCGCTGGCAGATCGGAGCGGGGAGGGGGGAATCCAGCCCCTCCCCTGTCACGGCAGAGAGCTGTGACAGGATCGAGAGGTGAGCGAACGCCGGTATGTGTTCGCTCACTTCTCGATCTACTGAGCCGACCTGTGACAGTCTCATTGTCACAGGTCGGCTAGAACTATGAGGTGAGTGAAAAGCACTCACCTCATAGTTCTCCTTTAAGGGAAAAAAGGAATATATGGAGGACATTAAGAGCATCCAAGGAACAAACTGGCCTCTTTTTCTAGGACACGCATGCCATCGTTTGAGCCAAATAAATGGAAACTTGCTTCTAATGAGAGGAAGAGAGAGGGGAAAAGAGATTTGCTTTATTTATTTAAGCAGTCACAACACTGGTGATTGATTACAATTGATCCAATATATTTAAGCTGCAAATAACGTACAGCTAATATCTATAGCTGGCCATACACCTATAGATTATCTGCAGATTTTCTATGATCAGATGGAAAAAGTGCAACAGATTCCTCCATCTACGCTGAACTGTGTGGATGGAGGAATCTCCCGCTGGGCCAAGCTGAAGTATCTTGCTAGTCGGCCCCGCTGGCTCTCAACATACCTGTACAATCTGATTGGATGCAGACATTGTTCAGGTGTTTTGAAAGCCAGCGGGGCCGTCTAGCAAGATACTGAAGCCTGGCCCAGTGGGAGATTCCTCCATCCACACAGTTTAGCGTAGTTGGAGGAATCTGTTGCACTTTTTCCATCTGACCACAGAAAATCTGCAGATAATCTATAGGTGTATGGCCAGCTTTATAAAATCATGTTATGGTAGATTGGCTTGTGGCCAGAAAAACAAAAGAAACCCTGAAAAAGGGGGTCCACCCTTTCCAGTTATGTAGAGGAAACTATTCAGAGACAAAAGATGGCCAAACAGTCGAATTTGTTTTCGGAACATTTACTTGATTTTGTAGTTCATTTTTGACCGTATTGTTGAAAACTTGGAAGTGAGCAAGGAATACAGGAGTATATAGGAGTGTATATGGTGTTCCTCCTGATGTGAGAAATTGTACAAAGTGAAACCTTTTCTGTTTCATCTATTACCTTTTCACCCAATATATGTTTGATTACTATGTAGTTATAAATCTTGTTTTTAATGCAATGTGTATTTCATATTTGATAACCCTCACAGAGCATACAAAGTCTAGTATCCTCAGAGCTCTGAGTCACGGTGTGACACTGTCTGAGAGTACAGCAGACCTGGACATGCCTCCTGAAACCAGAGAACTTTTCCTCATTAAGGACAAGAAAACTAACTCCGTCCTGAAAGGTACATTTCATTTTGCAACTTTACTGTTAAAACTCTATAGCCTTCATTTAAATGAAAAATAATTGCACTACATCTCTGCAAAATATGCATATGTTTTGTTGTTAAAATACTCTGCAAGCCCAGAAAAATACCTGTTAATCTGCCAGAAATCCAGTGAGCTCCTAACTTCCTGTTTGAGCTGACAACACAATATGGCTGATTTACTAAAGCAGTGCAGAATACTGTGTATGAATATTCCCTTCAATTATCCAGTCATGTGCAGATTAGTAAACATGAACTACGTGTTCTTTCCTCCAAGAGGGGTTCTGTGCACGACTGATAACATTGGCACTTCAGAGTACACAGGAAGCACACTGGATTTCTGGTGGGATCACCAGTTTTTCTTCTTCTGCTTGTGCAGCATCTATGACAGCTAGTTAAACACGTTAAGGGGAATTTATCAAAACTGGAGCAGACAAAGTCTGGGGCAGTTCTCTGTGGCAACCAATCAGCTTCTGTCTTTCATTTTCAAAGCTTAACTGGACAAACTGAATAGAGAAGCTGATTGGTTACTGTAGACAACTGCTCCAGATTCTGTCTGCTTCAGTTTTGATAAATTCTACCTTATTGTGCATCCCCAGTTAATGATATATTACAGATTATTACTATTTACACTGTTACTGCTGTTTGCATTAATTAAAAAAACCTATTCAAGTTTCGTAATACAATACAAATTGCAACGTCAGAAAAGAGTTTTGCACCTCGCTCAGTTACAGCATACATTCTTCATGCTGAGTAGATGATGATGATGATGATATCAACTGGGCACTTATTTCAATTACAAATCCTCTGTCAGAAAGACTACCACATTGTTTTCTAGAGGAGATTGTCCTCCTCTACACTCGTGTGACAGGCAGACATTTGCATTATCCACTGGTAGGGCTGAACTTACCTCTGTAACCTCTATATACAGTCATGGCCAATCTTTGATCAATTGTTCTCTTTCGTCCACATCCAGGGAGATTAGCTACAGTGCCATGGTCTGTAAACTTCTTGACAATGTTCTGCACAGTAGACATGTGCACCAGCAAAAAATTAGTTTAGTTTCGTTTTGATTCGGATTTTGCATTATTTTGTTTTTCGGATTCGGGTCCGAAATTAAATTCGTTTTGGAATTCAGATTCGGACAAAATTCGTTAGCGGTAGTCCGGTCGAAATTTCGTTGCAGCAAAATGACATTAGGAAAAAATTAGGAAATGACATTAGGGGAAAACAAAATCAAATTTTTAATTTTTTTTTAGTTTACAGAAGATGGAAAATAAAAAGCGTGAGGTTCCCCCCCAATTCATACCAGACCCTTTAGGGGGGGTGTCCCCATGCCGATGGGGACAAGGGCCTCTTCATGCGGTCTTGGCATTCAGAAAATATATAATGTTGGGGGGTTTTACGTCATTTTCAGGCCTAAAATGTGGAATATAACATGGGTGCAAAAAATGAAAAAAGGGCCTCAGTCATGAAGGGGTTAAATAAGGGGGCACCCAGATGCAGCCCCCCTTGTGAATGAGGGGTACTTGTACCCCTACCCATTCACTAAAGGGTTAAATCAAATAGTAAAAAGTCCAGACTTTTGATAAAATCCTTTTATTTGAAAAAAACAAAACAGTAAATCTTTGACTATTCCTTTAATAAAAAAATAAAAAAAAATGGCTCCATCGATGTAATCCAGCGTTAATCACGGTGCAGGACCCCCGCCGACCCACCGAAATAAAAAAAGTCCCGCGGCACAAAGACTGTCCGATCCCGACGAAAACTCGCCGCAAAATGACATTCAGCCCGAAAATAAACAGATGGGCGGAGTGAGCCGTGACAATGCTATTCAGGTCTGTGAGCCGAGGTGTCATATGAAAAGCATTATGACACCTCGGCTTACAAACCCGAATAGCATTCGGAAACTCATGAATAGTATTCGGGAGTTCACGATGCTACGTAGCATTTGACAGCTGAGAGTGTCAAATGGGCGGAGCAAGCCGTGACGTCCTAATGTCATACCGCTCAAAAACGAAAATTCGTCCAAAAACGAAATTTCGACCGGACTACCGCTAACGAATTTCAGGAATTCGGATTCGTTTGCATTCATTTTACCTGTAATTCGGAATTCGCATAAGTCCGAATTTCCGAAATTTCGTCCGAGTTTCGGAACGAAACGAATCACCGCACAGTGGACACAGGAACATTAAGATCTCTGGAGATGGACTTGTAACATTGAGATTGTCTATGCTTTTCCACAAAAACATGGAATGCCATTATTTCTTGCAATTTTGAGAAGGTGCCAATAATTTTGTCCAGTCCATTTTTGGAGTTTTGTGTGGAATGTGTCAGATTTGGCTTTTTTTTCTCCACTTTTTTTGTGTCATACCAATACAAACACACGAAATAAAAATGAGAATGCCTAAACATTTGTAATTGCAACAATTTTCCTCGCGAGTGGTGCATTATCTGACAAATGCAGGGGTGCCGATATTTTTGCCCATGACTGTACATAAGTTGCTGCGGAAATAGCTAGCCTTCTACTTGTAAATAGTTAACTGACCTTGAGTAGCCAGTGATACAGAGACTTGTGGGAGTTGCAGAGCCTGGGACAAGCTCGTGGCTGAGCCTGAGACCTGAGGCTGCACTTCCCAGGAGCATGTGCTTTCAGGAGGATGGGTGATTCTGGGCTGGGGTTGCTCAGTGCGCTCAGTATGGGAGACCCCAGAGAAGGACACAGATCCATGTGGCTGCCGCTGACGCAGAGGAGCCATAGATCCTGTGTTAGCCTGTGTATGGGAGTGTGAGAGTGGACTGGAGAGTATTCAGATAGAGAGACTTCCATGTAGTCTGTGGCAATCAGTGTTGTTTAGACAATTGTTCCGTGGAGCGCAACCTTACCCACACAGCGGGGATATTGCGGCCTGGAAAAACGGCCGCGCCTGTACAGAGAGATGTCCATAGAGGCCTAGTAATCCACGGGATGCCTAGAGGTGTTCTCGGAGAGCATTCTTCAACATCTTCCTGTGACCAGAGATCATCTGCAAGGTACAGCAGATGACTTCAGGACCAGCAAGAGTGTTGGGTGAGAGAAAGGGGACACTTGTCTCTCGCTGACGGACATCACAGCCGAATGATTGACTCTGGAACTGTTGAGAGGCCTTTGGCCATTTGTGTCACTTCTGCAATACAGTATGGGCCCCAACGATGACTAGCCTGGACTATTGCTACTGGCCAGTAGTATAGAGAGCTGGAGATTAATTGGGACTGGGACATTAGCAATCAGGTATTCAAAGTCAAAGATAGCAACTGAGATAGTTCAGTACTGCATATTTTAGTATATAGACAGCCGCGACTGCTTAGTGTCTAAATATCCAATGTATATTGCTGAATGTTGTTTTCTTCAATTATTGTGTTTCCTTTATGTAATGCTTAATGTATATATACCAGTTGCTTACTAAAGCTGCTACAAAACTCTCTAAGGTGTGTTGGTGTGCTGTGGATCCTGTTTGGGTGGTACATTTTGGCTTGGGGACAGAAATACCCGGGTTATTCTGGCGGCTCCTTCGGGGGTGAGCGCTACTCCTCTATTAAAGCTTGGTCAATAATTGCTAAATGAGGCCATTATTTTAAAACGGAAGTAAGTGTATGGCCAAGCAATATCTAAATAATAAATACTTAGGTATAGGGATGTCCCGATGCCACTTTTTTAGGTCCAAGTACTTTTCCTCAGGTACTTGCTGATACCAATTACCGATACTTTTTCTTAAAGGGACATGTCACATTTTTGCTAAAACAACACAAACTGATAATTTAAGGCAGTTATAGTATAGTAATACAGATGTGCACCAGAGCACAATACAGATGTGCACCAGAGCACAATGCAGATGTCCCCCAGAGCACAATACAGATGTCCCCCAGAGCACAATACAGATGTCCCCCAGAGCACAATACAGATGTCCCCCAGAGCACAGCACAATACAGATGTCCCCCAGAGCACAGCACAATACAGATGTCCCCCAGAGCACAATCTAGATGTGATCGGGTGGCAGGGAGGGGATGTGTGGGGTGTTGGTGATAGGGGTAGTAGGGTGGCAGGGAGAGAGTGGTAGTGATTAGTGTGGTTCAGATACAATAACACAGGGCAGACAGGGGTGTCCAGGCTGCTGTGGGTGTAATATTAAGGGAGGACATGTAACAGAGGGCTGCACACACTATCAGGGTCATTACCTTGTAACATGGCTCGGTGCAGAGCTGTCAGTCCATCCACTTGGCATCATTCCCCACGAGGCCACACTGTCTCCTCACTGACATGGCCATGGTGCTCCTTTCTCTGCACTGACAGAGAGCCACGCTGCTCTTCTCTCTTAGGGATACGGCTGTGCTGTCCCACTTTCTGCACTGGCATGACCACGCTGCCTCTCTCTTCTCCTCTTTGGCCCTGGATTGGGAGATGGACTGCCCAGGAGACTGCGGACCAGTTGGTGACTGGTGCTGGTTGGGAACCCCTGCTGCACAGTGTTGGGCTGTCAATGGCTGTGCCTGCGCAGGGAAGGAGGAGGAGGAGCTATAGAACCGGACAGGCACTGCCATGGACAGCTACTTGAAGGTCCCCAGCAAGCTGCCGAGGGCCCCGCAAGCGCGGGAACTCGGACAGCCACTGCTGTTTTTAAAAATCTAAAGGGGCGGTATCTGCCTTAAGAATCGGGGCATTTTCACGTGTACAAGTGCTCGTGAAAACACCAGGTATCAACCCCGATATCGATACTAGTATTGGTATCGGGACATCCCTACTTATGTACAGTCTTTCTCTGATTTTAAACAAACTAGACATTAACAGTAACTTACATAAAACAGTATACTTGTGATTTATCTACAGATTTAAACATTATAGAGAGGAACAGCTTGCAAGAAAAACCTAAAAGAAAACCTAAAACGTGAGTCTTAAAACAACCTATTTAATTCTAATTGCTAAATTTTCATTGTAATTATTATTTATAAGCATTGTTACATTTATTATTATGTTACATTTTAGTGGTCTAGACATTTCTTCATCACGCTGGCTGAAGACACATGGGCTGGTTGCTAGAAGGCTCACTATAATGGACGCCCTGGCCCCAACCACTATTCCACACTCTTCTACATATATTCCAGTTCTTGACAAGCATGTTGTTTCTAAAGTGTTTGATGAGGTGAGTGCACATAGATTCAAGTAATGGCCATCATTTTTACATTTTTAATACATTATTAGGTGATTATACAATGTTTTAGATGTAAAGGAGATCAGCTGGACACAAATGATTCTATGTAAAATTTGTAATTATATGTATGTATAAGCAGCCATATTTGCTGAATACATATTCAGGCTTTTTTATGTTTTGCAGTGATAAATAATTATTGTGCTTTAGGGCTTGTGCACACCAATTACAGTGCAATCCAGCGCGGTTAGCTGCTGGAATGCACTGTATTGTATACTAAATGCGCCCGTGCTTTCTAGGGCCCACACCAGAACACGTGGCACAACAATGTCTGCGTTCCAGTCCAGTGCGATTGCAAAAAATGCTGCAAGCACTGTTTTTTTCCACACCAGAATGCAGGGGGGAGTTTAGTACGAACACACTCTAATGGGTGTGAACAAGACCTAACTGTTTATTCCCACAATACTTTTCTAAGGATTTGATTATTAAGGCAAATAGGCTGTTCATTTTGCAAGAGAATTAACATTTTGCAAGGGAATTTTCCCTTGGCATAGTAAAGCTCTGCTGACTTGCATCATCATCAAAACATTGTGGAAGCAATCATCAAGCATCATGGAAGCAAAAAATAGTTTTTGTTGGGTTTTTTTCCACACGATTGGGTATTCTTTGCAAAGTGAATTTTCAGCACATTCACTGAGCTAAAACAATTTTGCAAAGTTAAAATTCCCTTGCAAACTGAACAACCTATTTGCCTTTCATAAATAAACCCCCAGAAGTTGGTTATCCCACTGAAAACACTGTCCTCCCTATGTGGCAGATACCATACCCCAACATATGTTAAGAGAGAGTAATTGCATTGCATCACTGGGCACCATCTCTAGTGGCTAATCTACAAAGTTCTATTTAATTCAATAAAAAAAAACGTAGAAGATGAAGTGTATAACAATATAATTAATGCATTAATAATGATCAAAAAGTAAATAATGAATTGATAAGAGAAATACTTCTCCTTTAAGCACTAGCCAAACCTGCACAAACCCTACTTTAATCTAATCAACCATGACAATCATCGTAATGTTTATATAAAACTTATGTTTTAAAGGATAATTTTGATCCCCCAAATTTCAGGTCAGGTCAGATAAGAGGAGTAATATTACCTTGGCATCTACAGCAAATAATTAGCATGTGACTACATTCACTATGTGTTCTAGCCTAAGAATACATCTACCTGTCTCCCTTTTCAGCTGCCCCCTGTTGCTGTTCCTTAGTTGGGGAGAGGGAAAGGGCTTCATTCTGGCACTGGTACATGTTGGGAGTACTAAAAGCAAAAGCAGACTTGACTTATCTCTGATATCAACCCTCATCTTTTCTTGGGTGGCAGACTAGAGGGGTTAAGCGGTGAAACAGAAAATCACTGACTCCCTCTCACTAATTACTAGTTAGTCCTGTTGTGGAAAATTGTAAATATCTTGTGTTGTGCGGGGTTCTGCTAATATTTTATTGATTTTATTTTATCTTAATATTTGATTTATTTACTTTTTTTTGAGTCATCACTGTAAATGATTTGTAAAACAAAAAGTACAATAACTGTGAGAAAATATCGAATTATTTATCATTTAACGAGAATCTAAACAATGGACAATATATGTAATTTGCTCCAGCTACAGTATTAAGTATGCGAATCTGGGTGCTTTTAATTTGTCACCACTGCAGGGCAGTATAGAGCTACTTCCCATGATCTCGTTCTACCTCTGTTTAAAAATGACACTTTACATCACGCAGTTCTGTTTACAAAGCAGGGGCTAATTATGCAAACAATTTATGAAACAGCATCACTCATGATTACATTGAATGAATTATTGTGCTCTTATTATGTGTAATATCAGCACAATATTTATGGAATGTTAGTATTACCATCCTATATCAGCAATGCTAGCTGCGCACAAAAAGACATCCCAGTCAGTATGTAATGAGAGCAGTTTTTTTCTGATTAATGTTGCATGTAATGGTAACAAATAGCAACAAAAAACTTTTACATTGGTTGAAATAATATACCTGTATTAGTGCGCTGAAAATGTTCGTATTATTTATAGCATGTTTCCTGTGTGTTTTCTGTTTGCTGGGTCCTCACTGCCGTCCGAGGCCCCATGATGAGTCGCCATGGCAACCATTAGTATCCGGCGGCCGGTGGGCCCCCCATCTCTGCGCCGGGAGTGTCGGATGAACGGGGTACCGCTGGGTACCGATCCGGCGCTGGGACTGTGCTGGGCCCCCTAGAGGCCCGAGGCCCTGGTGCGTCCGCACCGCCTGCAGCGGCGGTACTTCCACCACTGCTGATGGCACAAGAATACACATGGAGATACTGTAAACAGGCACATAGGTACATACTGGTGGCATAGGGGTACACTTGGACATATGGAGGTTCTTTAGTGGCTTTCTCTCCTCGTGCTTTCTCCTCGCTCTCTCTCCTTTCTTTGATCATGAAACTTAGTTTGATGATACATACAGCGTTGTGTGGTTCTTTTATACTGTGTATAATGCATTTTAGCATTCATAGCATTTATTTAAAAACTTTAAATATAATGTATTATGTTATGAATGTTTTGTAAATAATTGAGGACAGAGTATGTTTACTGTGTCCTCAATTATGAAAGTTTTTTGTTTCGGTTTTAAAAATTTCGGTGCACCTCTAATGGATATACTGTATATATTGTTATTACATTAATGTTCATGTTGCTTATTACATATGCAGATTGTGCTTGCTTTGCAGTGCTACATACTGCTTATGCTTTTTTAACCAATACATGTCTGAAGGTGCTCATACACTGTACGATTATCGTACGAGAATCGCGGGAAATCCGGCGATCGTACGATAATCGCAAAGTGTATGGAAGCCGTGCAACCGTTTCTACTGTACAATCGCACGTCTTCCGTTGAACAAGCGGGCTGGAAAACCCGCCGAGAATCTTACGATTCTCTTACGGTTAGTGGCGTGCTTGTTCAACAACTGCCGAACGGGCCGGTGTGCGCACGGGCACACTGCCCGTTCAGCATTGCAGACATCGGAAGCCCGCCCCTCAGCAAGTACAATCTGCCTGTCCAAGATGGGCAGATCGTACGTTTTTTTAATTAATTTACAACAATCGCAAGACAAAAGCCTTGCGAGGGTTGTACAGTGTATGGCTCCCTTTAGGGTCTGTGAACTGATTGAAAAAATTTGCAGTTCCTGTGTGACTAATATCGTAAAAAAAAACTCCACGGGTTTTAAAAACTTACACTTGCAGTGGAGCTACTACTCTATTGCAAGGAATAAGTACTCGTTTTGTCTAGGAGGTGAAAATAAAGCAGATGTACTCACCTGATCTTCGGTCAGCAGCCACTTCTCTCTCACCTTCTCTCTGGCTGTGGAATTTTCCTTTGGAATCCTCACTTCTAATGCAAGTCAAAGGACCTGCATTAGATGTTATGATGTCAGCAGTTCTTAGACTGCCAGAGCCTAGGGAAGAATATGCTGTGGGGATCGATCTAGCAGCCAGGTAGCATCAAGGATCAGGTGAGCAAATCTGCTTTATCTGATTTCCCCTAGACAAAAGGAGCTCATAACCCTTGTAGTGCGGGGTTAGCCCCACTTCAAGGGTAAGTTTTAAAATTCTTGGAGTTCTTCTTTAACAGTTGTTTAGCAGAGTAACATAGTTATCTGCTTTGACATTAGTGGCTAATCTACATTTATCTACATTTAATACAGTAAGAGCACTCACACCACCTGTGTTGGCCTATGTTGCCCATGCCATGGCCAATGCTATAAGCTGAAATCTATTGTTTCCAATAGGCCCTGTTCACCCCTACATTGTGCATTGGTGTGCACTTAGTGAAAATGGAACAGGTTGCATTTTAACACCGCTCAAAGCGCTGCTCATCGGTGTAAAACAGGACCTTAAAAAGTGCATGTTAACACATGTCAACTTAAATGCATTTAGTACATGTGGTGTGAATCCAGCCTAAAGGTGCCCATACACCTTACAACCATCGCAAGACCCTTTTTTTTAAAAGCTCGTACGATCTGCCCATCTTGGACAGGCAGATCGTACTTGCGATCATCGAAAGCCCGCTCCGATGAGGGGCGGGCTTCCGAAGACTTCAATGCCGCACAGGCAGTGTGCGCTTGCGCACACCGGCCCGTTCGTCATTTATCTCCCGAGAGCGGCACTACCCCGCCGACAATCGTACGATTCTCGGCGGTTTTCAAGCCTGCACGGGAGACAAAAGACGTGCGACCGTACAGTAAAACGGTTGCACGCCTTCCATACACCTGCCAATTATCGTACGATCGCGGGATTTCCCCTGATTATCATACGATAATCGGCAGTTGTATGGGCACCATAACAAAAATAGGAAAAGAGCAATTATACAAAAAATTTCAATCTGCATCAAAATTAAGGTACACTGCAATAATACCTCAAAGCACGTGTTCACTAAAGATGCAATGGAGTAGGCAAAAACTGGAGCAGCTGTGCATGGCAAACAATCAGCTTCTAGCTTTTATTTTGAAAGCTGACTGTGCACATCTATTCCAAATCCTGTCTGCTCCAGTTTTAGTAAATTTCTCTTTACGCATTTTACAGCTATATTTCATTTTAAAACTTCCCTTTCACTATTTACATTTCTAGCATTTTGTAATAGCTTGGTGCTTTATAAATAAAGATGATTTATTATAATAATGTACTATTATGGTTATTATTATTTGCATGGCACATGCTGAAGTTATTTTTCCTGCCAACATTACAGCGGTTATAATCTTTCCTGCCTCCCTATTACTTCCCTTTATCCATGTTAAGTTGCTATGGCAGCCCCTCATTACCATCAAGCCAGTGTGTGCTCTCAATAGCCTGATAACAAGAGTGCACTACTTGATCTGTTTCAGGAGATTAATTCATTATACTCCTCATTAGAATACTCATCGCCTAACAAGAAGCCATGTGCTGGACACGGCATTT